AACATATCACTTTGTCTCATGTATAAGTTTCTGATACAAAGAGAAATGGCAATGTAATTTGAATAAAAACTAGACATACTTGGGCAAAGTCAAACACCCAAAATCAAAAACAGAGTGGAGCGGCTGGGTATGGTAGCTCATGCCTGTAATTCCAGCACGCTGGGAGGTTGAGATGGGCGGATTGCTTGGAACCAGGAGTTTGAGACCAGCCTGATGAACACGGTGAAACCCTACCTCTACTAAAAATACAAAAATTGGCTGGGTGTGCCTGTTATCCCAGCCACTTGGGAGGCTGAGGTAAGAGAATCACTGGAACTCAGGAGGCAGAGGTTGCAGTGAGCCAAGATGGCACCACTGCACTCCTGCCTGAGTAGTAAAGTGGGACTGTCTCAAAAAAAACAAAAAACAAAGAACAAAACCTAGAGTGAAACAAATTCGGAATGCTTAAAAAGTTCAAGAGTAAACAGAAGGGGTCTAGCTGGTTGTTTAAGTGAATGAAATCACCATTACCTACTTTATTTATTTATTTTCCAGGATTTCAAAGAGTTCGCTGTTAGCTAGTTAATTGATTTGCCACTTTGTTAAGAATGATTGACATGTAAAAAGCTGCATTCATGTCATGTATCCATTTGATGTGTTTGGGAATAAGTGTACTCCTGTGAAGCCGTTACCATCAATGCCATTGACACATCCACCACCTCTCAAAGTTTCCTCCCAAACCCTTTCTTGTTATTATTGTAAGGGGACAACAATTATTGGGCATATAATATATACTGAATTCTACCATCCAGTCCTGTTTGCCTGTTGTTGGGGTTGTTTTTATTTTTAATGTTATAAAAAAGAGAAAGAAAAAAGACAAGGATTTACCAATTACTCCAAGACTCTACAATGCACTGAAATAGTAACAAGTCGACCTGGTGCGGTGGCTCGTGCCTGTAATCTCAGCACTTTGGGAGGCTGAGGCAGGCAGATCATGAGGTCAGGAGTTGGAGACCAGCCTGACCAACATGGTAAAACCCCCTCTCTACTAAAAATACAAAAATTAGCCCAGCGTGGTGGCCTGTGCCTGTAATCCCAGCTACTCAGGAGGCTGAGACAGGAGAATCACTTGAACCTGGGGGCCAGATGTTGCAGTGAGCAGAGATCACACCACTGCACTCCAGCTTGGGTGGCAGAGTGAGGCTCCGTCTCTAAATAAATAAATAAATAAATAAATAAATAGTAACCAGTCAACTCTGCAGTATTCAATTATTTGACATTTTGTTGGAATTTCTTACAGTCTGAGGATGAATCATCTACCATACACATTAGGAAAGGATCAATTCTGTATGTGAAAAAGTTAGGTGAAATTCAGCAAAGAATTCCATTCCTTGCTGTTGCCAGTCAGGAGGGCCTATTCACTTGTGCTCCAGGACTGATTTAGTTGACCATGTGCCCACCTTGGGCTAGATCACAAAAGCAATGTTACTGTAATCTCTAACGTCAGGATGCCTTCAGGAGAAGATGCAGATTATTCCTCCCAGAGAGATGAGCACAATCGTCATCTCTTGCGGTCATTTCTGCTTTTGTTCTCTGGCCTTTTTGTTAGCAGCTCTTTACCCACTGATGCTATTACTCTTGTCTCATTCTTCCACCTCATCGTTCCACCTCTCCTTCCTCAGAGCCTTGAACTAATCTTTGAATCTCTCCTATGTTAAACAATTTCCTCTACATTCTTAATCTCTATTCCCAGAATCTACTTTCTGTCTGTGCCTCAACTGATTCTCTCCCAAATGCGTGAGCTACCCCTGCAGCCCTTTCTAGCCCTTTCTGGTAGAATGTGTGGATGAGGAAGAGGTGCCCCATCTATTGTTCCTCAATAATTTTTCTTTTTTTGAGACAGAGTTTTGCTTCTGTTAGTCACCCAGGCTGGAGTGCAATGGTGGGATCTTGGCTCACTGCAACCCCTGTCTCCCGGTTCGAGCAATTCTCCTGCCTCAGCCTCCCAAGTAGCTGGAATTATGGGCACCCACTACCATATCCTACTAATTTTTGTATTTTTAGTAAAAACGGGGTTTCACCAGGTTATACAGACTGGTCTTGAACTCCTGACCTCAGGTGATCCACCCGCCTCATCTTTCCAAAGTGCTGGGATTACAAGCATGAGCCACCGTGCCCAGCTTCCTTGATACTTTTTTGTGATGTATTCCATGAGATTAAAACATGCTGTCACCCACTCTCCCTGTGGCTGCCTTCTGGCCTTCTGTCAATCTGTCCATCAGTCACTGGCTCATTCCCTGTGACTCTGCTCCCTGACTCCACTCTTCTCTCCAAGAACTGGCCTCACTCTGAGTGACTTCAATGTCCATGTAAAGACTCAGTCAGTACCTTAGCTTCAACTGTCCTTTCCATTCCTGCCTTGACTCCATCAATATGTTTAAGCCACCCACATCCATGTGACACCCTAAATTTTGTATTTTATTTCTCTGAATTACTCCAGAATTGTAAAATCCTAGACTTCACTCTCTGATCACAAACTTTTCTAGTTCCATGACTTCAGTGGTACCTGTTCTTTAACCATATGCTTCACCTTCACTCCTCTATTCTCCTTATTTCCACAACAGAGACCACAGGGTCATCGTTTCAGCTCCTTTGCCAGCGATCCATATGTCTTTTCCCTTTGTTTCTCAGTTCCCCCAGCCTGAAAAAAAACCCCGAAAGCTGGATTGATTTAAATGCTCCTCTTCTCTCTTCTTAGACAGGTCTAAAAAGTCGCAGATCTGTCTAAATTGGTGTCACTGTAAATCTGTAGTCCTAAGTGGATCTTAAATGTTGCATTTGCTATATTGTTAATTAATTTTTTGCCTATCCCAAGGTACCTCTACCCTCTTCCCTTTCTTCTCCCGCTTCCCCCTTCACTGTCTCATCATCTGGCCAGATGCAGACCTTGCTTCCTACTTTCCAGAAGAAACAGAAATAACTCAATGGGCATTCCTTCAATGTTAAAAATTTATCTGCAAATATTAGTGTCAGTCCAGGTTTCTCTCTGCTTTTTTTTTTTTTTAATTTGTTTTGAGGCAGAGCCTCACTCTGTTGCTTGGGCTGGAGTGCAGTGGTGCAATCTCGGCTCATTGCAACCTCTGCCCCTCGGGTTCAAGTGATCCTCCTGCCTCAGCCTCCCAAGTAGCTGGGATTACAGGCACCCGCCACTATACCTGGCTAATTTTTTATATTTTTAGTAGAGAGGGGAGGCTGGTCTTGAACTCCTGACCTCATGATTTGCCCTCCTCAGCCCCCAAAGTGCTGGGAACACAGGTGTGAGCCACCGCGCTCAGGCTTCTCTCTGCTTTTAATGACCATTCATTCTTTGTGTGCTGGATTTTCAGCAAAATTATACTTATTTTTCAGGGGTTGGCCTGGATATAATTTCTTCATGAACCCCTGTCATTAGTTCACTATAGCACAAAATTCTTATTACTTTTTTTTGTTTTTGCCAGATTGTAAGCTCCACTTACCAGGTAGCTCTTGGGCAAGTGTTGCTTCACAGAAACTATAGTTCAGTAAAAGTTTTGTATTAATGATATTTTGTTTCAAGAGACACACTTCCATGAAGAGGAGAATTCAGAAGTGACTACTTAAAAGTTTCTTGATATCCACATATATGTTTACACTCAATAGGTGATTGCAATTAATTCTTTTTCAGAAAAGTTTGTGTGTGGGTAGATTACATTTTTATGAACCAAATCAACTTTTTTAATGTACTGAGAGAATTCCAGGAATCTAAGTATATTTAATTAAATGGAAAACTGATTTTTTTAATGTAAAAAATGCTTCTGAAATAAAGAATGATCAAATTGTGACTTTTCTGCCTTTTCAGTTTACTTTTTCATAGGTTGGATTTCTTGAAGCATTGTACAGCTTCAATGTATACCTCACTCACATGATGAATGGCTTTCTACATGTCAATCGATTTTTTTATAAGTGTGTAATCATTGAATTTTGAGATACACTTTAGGGTTTTTGTTGTTTTTGTTTTTTTTCCTTTTTTTGAGATGGAGTCTTGCAATGCCGCCTGAGCTGGAGAGCAATGGCACAATCTCGGCTCACTACAACCTCCTCCTCCGAGGTTCAAGCGATTCTCCTGCCTCTGCCTCCTGAGTAGCTGGGATTACAAGCACCCGACATCACACCTGGCTAATTTTTTGTATTTTTAGTAGAGATGGGGTTTCACTATATTCGCCAGGCTGGTCTCGAACTTCCGGCCTCTCAATCTGCCCTCCTTGGCCTCCCAAAGTGCTGGGATTATTGGCGTAAGCCTAGCCTAGGTATTTTTTTTTTACACTGAATAAAAACAAAGATCTTTGAAAATCATTAAAATATTTTAATGTAAATGCATAATGCTTATTGGTAAAAATAAAAATTAAAATATTTTAATAATCAGATATTAACAAAATTACCTTATCAATTGGAAGTACTATTCCCAAACTCTAATATGATATGCAGAGTGCTAGGGAGATGCTTAATCATGAAACCTACCTGCTACTGATTGGATTCTTTAATGAAGGTTGTAACACCCATTTCTAGTGCAGTAATTATCATGATCATCTCTCTGTATTTCCTTCCAGCCTCCTTCTAGGTATTGCTGGGCTGAACTGCCCATTTATGATCTTCTGAATCGGTGCCTGCTTAAACTTAGTTGAAAACAAACTAATGCAACTAAGAAATGGAGAGATAATAGGAGGTGGACAGGAAAACAGCAAGATCCTCGAGTGAGGCCCAGGGAAAAAGGGTTACCTTGGCAACGTGACATACTGTGAGGAAGACGACTCAGGCCCACGGCGACAGGAAATGAATCAGGCCACACTGTGACCAGAGGAACCACTTAAGAGGCAGACAATGATTCAGCTTTGGTGGAAGTCAAGTAATGAACACGCTACACTTCACTTTTGCATCTCTAAGAGGCACTGTCTGCGGTTTGCCTGTTCCTTGCCCAGCGATCTGCGTGGTGGAGAGCCGCTTACCTCCGCCAGGTAGAATTCGTCGTACTGCCTTCTGAAGTTTTCTCCTTTGTAGTAGTTGCTAGCTGCCACGATCACGTCCACAGTCACCATGCTCAGGATGAACATGTGGAAGACGGATGACCGCATCATTTTCTGAGGGGGCAAAGCAGACAGACTTTTAACAAAGAAATAAACCTCATGATAAAATATAATTGATGGGCTTAGGCCTTGGCTGACAGCACCTTTGTGATATACTGCTATGCAAAACAGGGCTTCCAAGATAAAGCCATCAATGTCCCATGCTGCTGAACTGGGAGAGCAATGGAACCTTTCTTTCAGGCAGCTAAACAATGGCTAGGAAGATGGTTTCAGAGACTTTTGACGAAAAATGGAAAACATATATCATTTAATTTGTGTATAGCTTGCATCTTAATTTTCTTATTGGTTGGTTGGGTAGTACTTATCCTTAATTCTGACTGTATGAATAAATGGCTTTTAAAAAACTGGTAACATAAAACAAGTATTACTTTATTCTGTGTTAAGTGAACAAGTATTCCTTCATTCTGTGTTAAGGGAGAATACTGTGGACGAAAACATTTTAGAGAAGTAAGAGAAACCTAAGATTTGTTTTTTACTTATTACTTCCATAAAAAATTGTTGAAAATTTTACTGCAGCTTCTAGTAAGTGACATCTACATTGCACTTGCTATCTCTCTGGAGTCTTTCTAGATGCTTTATATAAATCAACTCATTGTAGCCCTAGGAAGTTATTCTAATAAGGAAACTGAGACTCAAAGAGGTTAAATAACTTTCCCACTGTCACTCGGGGATTGAAAATGGGCTCAATACTGGAAACCAAGTCTGGCCCAAGTCTACTGACTACATTAAGACGGGGATAATGACACATTTAAAAGTAATGAGTATTATTATAAATGCCATCCTGTATTAAATGCTTACTATGTTCTAGGCCATATTATTCACATTAAAATATTTGTGGGTCCATAGTAAGCATATATATATATATATATGTGCATATATTTACGGAGTACATGAGATGTTTTCATACAGGCATGCCATGTGGAATAAGCACATTATGGAGAATGGGTATCCTTTGAGTTACAATCATATTACACTCTTTATTTTAAAATGTACAGTTATTATTACTGACTGCAGTCACCCTACTGTGCTATCAAATAGTAGGTCTTATTTATTCTTTCTATTTTTTTGTTCACATTTACTATCCCTACCTTCCCCGGGACTCCAATACCCAACCCAGCCTCTGGCAACCGTCCTCTACTCTCTATGTCCATGAGTTTGCTTATCTTGATTTTGTGATCCCACAAATAAGTGAGGACACGTGATGTTTGTTTTTCTATGCCTGGCTTATTTCACTTAACATAGTGGTCTCCAGTTCCATCCACGCTCTTGCAAATGACTGGATCTCATTCTTTATTATGCTTCAGTAGTACTCCATTATGTATATGTGCTGCATTTTCTTCATCCATTCATCTATTGATGTATATGTAGGCTGCTTCCAAACCTTGGCTATTGTAAGCAGTACTGCAACAAACACAGGATTGAAGATTTCTCTTAGATATCCTTATTTCCTTTCTTTTAGGTATATGCCCAGCAGTGGGATTGCTAAATCATATGGTAGCTTAATTTTCAGTTTTTCTGAGGAATCTTCAAACTGTTCTCCATAGTGGTTGTACTAATTTACATTCCCACCAACAGTGTACAAGGGTTCCCTTTCCTCTGCATTCTCACCAGCATTTATTATTGCCTGACTTTTGAATATAAACCACTTTTAGCTGGGGCAACATGACGTCTCATTGGAGTTTTGATTTGCATTTCTCTGATGATCAACGATGTTGAGCACCTTTTCATATGCCTGTTTGTCATTTGTATGTCTTCTTTTGAGAAATGTCTATTCAAATCTTTTGCCCATTTTTTGATCAGATTATTAGATTTTTCCTATAGAGTTGTTTGAGGTCCTTATATATTCTGGTTCTTAATCCGTTGTCAGAGGGGTCATTTGCAAATATTTTCTCCCATTCTGTGTATTGTCTCTTCACTTTATTAATTATACCATTTGCTGTGAAGAAGCTTTGTAGCTTGATGTCATCCCATTTGTCCATTTTTGCTTTGGTTGCCTATGCTTACGGGGTATTACTCATAAAATCTTTGCCCCGTCCAATGTCCTGGAGATTTCCCCCTGTATTTTTTTGTAGCAATTTCATAGTTTGAGGTCTTATATTTAAGTATTTAATTCATTTGATTTTTGTACAGTGTGAGAGAAAGGGGTCTAGTTTCTTCTGCATATGGATGTCCAGTTTTCCCAGGACCATTTATTGAAGAAACTGTCTTTTCCCAGTGTATGTTCTTGGCACCTTTGTCAAAAATAAGTTCATTGTAGGTGTGTGGATTTCTTTCTGGGTTCTCTATTCTGTTCCATTGATCTATGTGTCTTTTTGTATGCTAGTACCATGATGTTTTGGTTACTATAGCTTTGTATTATAATTTGAAGTCAGGTAATGTGATTCTTCCAGCTTTGTTCATTTTGCTTAGGATAGCTTTGGCTCTTCCAGATCTTTTGTGGTTTCATATAAATTTTAGAATTTCTTTTTCTATTTCTGTGAAGAATATCATTGGTATTTTGAAAGGGATTTAATTGCATCTGTAGACTTCTTTGGGTCGTAGGAACATTTTAAAAATATTGATTCTTCCAATTCATGAACATGGAATATTTTTTTTCCACTTTCAGTGTCCTCTTCAATTTCTTTCCTCAGTGTTTTATAGTGTTCATTACAGAGAGCTTTCAATTTTTTGGTTAATTCCAAGATGTTTTATTTTATTTGTAGCTATTGTAAATGGGATTACTTCCTTGATTTCTTTTTCAGGTTGTTTGCTGTTGGCATACAGAAATGCAACTGATTTTTGTATGTTGACTTTGTATCCTGGAACATTACTGAATGTGTTCATCCGTTCTAATAGTTTCCTGGTGGAGTCTTTAGGTTTTTCCAAATATAAGATCATGTCATCTGCAAACAAGGATAATTTGGCTTCTTCCTTTCCCATTTGGATGCCCTTTATATCTTTCTTTTATCCAACTGTTCAATCTAGGGCTTCCAGTACTATGTCGAATAACAGAGGTGACAGTGGGCATCCTTGTCGTGTTCCAGGTCTTAGAAGAAAGGCTTTCAGTTTTGCCCCATTCAGTATGATACTAACTGTGGGTCTGTCACATATGGCTTTTATTATGTTGTGGTATGTTCCTTCTATCCCCAGTTTTGTTGAGGGGTTTTACCATGAAGAGGTGTTGAATTTTGCCAAAATTTGTTTTAGCATCAATTGAAATAATCATATAGTTTTATCCTTCATTCTGTTGATATGATGTATCACACTGATTTATTTGCGTATGTTGAGTCATCCTTGCATCCCAGGGATAAGTCCCACTTGGTCATGATCCATATTATTCATATGTTTTATTTTATTTGTGTTAATATCCACCATAGCTCTATATGGTGAGATACATTACTCACATTTCACAGAATTCAGAGAGACTAAGTCATTTTTCCGAGGTCACACAATTTCTACTGTATTTTCCAAATACACTAGAATCGGGCTAGTGTATTTAAATACCCTAGTCTATTTGAAGTCCATTGTGGGTCTCACTGCCTGCTATGGGGTAGAGAATACTTAAATGGAGAGAGTGGAGGCTGAAGGCCCTGGGCAGCAGAAAAAGGAGAGAGAAGCAGACCTATGGAAAGGAACTGAGCACAAAAAACACCTCTGAGCCATATCTGCCCAGGGACTAGTGCCACCACACATCCTTTTTCTGAGGTCTCATTTCTTCTGGGTACTTATGGACAAATACCCTTACCATCCGATCTGACCTAAGAATCCTTTAGTCCTTGCAACTCAAAGAACCTAACTAAAGCACAGCCTTAAAATGAGGTAAGAGAAGAAGGACTGTCTCCTCTGGGCACTGCCAATGTCTCTATGACTCTATGTGTGTGTTTCATGGGGTCTTCCTTATCCTACGGCATGAGCGATGGGCCAAACTGCCTGAAGCTGAAGCTCTACCACCGACTGGCACTGTAGCTTAAACCTCTGTTTTCCCATTGGTAAAGTGGAGAAAATAGTACCTACTCCAAAGGGCTGTTATCAATTTTAAATGAGTCAATATTTGTAGAGGGCTTAGAATGGTAATTAGACGTACAAGTATTCTATGAAGGTTTGCAGAGAAAAGGAATGCAATTTTGTGAATCAAGTATTTTTCTGTTCAGGAATGAGAAATTAATTACCCAAGGTTGAAGAATTAATTTTGTTGTAAATCAGACTAAGTCCAGAATCAAATGAGGTAAGTAACATCGATAAGGGTCTAATCATTTGAGACATGCCAGTGACATTGAGAAAGTAGATTTTTTTTTAAGGCTTCCTGTCATCATGGCTATTGATGCACATCCATTTGCCTTTGACTTTATTTTACAGGTAATACGAAATCAAATTCCAGAGCTGCCAATCAACATGTTTACATGCATATCAATTTACTTGCAGAAATGATTGACCTTCATAACACAGATAGGCAAATCATCTGGAACGTTTCTATGCTCATTAAAATTTTTATTGTTATTTAGTCTTTCTTGCACTATGAGAGTTAAATTCCATAGCTATTATTCCTTTTATACACTCCTTTCAGCATAATGTTCTATTAAAAACGTTTCTGCTGATTTCCATTTCATCTGCATGGCAGGAAAGCCACAACTTTCTCTTTCTCTTTTCCTTAGCTATGGATTTATATCTTAAGTAAACTGTTATTATTGAAAGGTCCAAACAAAGCTTTTAGCCATGGTTGTCAAAAAACTTTTAAATTGGTTTTGTAACTGTCACAGCTTCACTTTGGTGCTGTCATTGTAATTAGGTTGTTTTTTGTCTGAATGTCTACATGTCCCTGTTGGTTCAGAGTTATTAAAATAATCATTCACAATGGATTTTGATACACTATAATCATTGCTTAGCTGACTTTCTCCAAAGCAGGAACTTTCAAGTATTAAATAAGAATTAAGGTGATAAATATGTGCAGTAGCTACATTTAAATATTAAAATCAGTAACTCCAGCTTTAAAGTTAGAGCTAGTGGCACAGCCCACT